TGAAAAGCCTACTCAAAAGAATTCAACCTTATAAAGAAATGGTAAATGCAATTGAATTTGGATCATTGAACACATTTAAAGCAATGCAAGTCCATAGAGAATGCAAAAGAGAAAGCTCAAAATTCAAATAATAAAAATATGAATAAACATAAAGTCAAATGTTACTAAATATTTGAACATGAAAAAATGAAAATAAAATTGACACAGAAAAATGTACATTGCTTTGAGTAGAAATAATAATTGTATTCCTTATTATAGGATAGAATAAATTTTAAATAATCTTTTGCTTTACATTAACTTTAAATGATAACTTATTTTGACAAATCTAAATTTAAATGTAAGGTTGAAAACTCGAATAGAAATAATTAAATCTTAAGTTAATTTATCAAATATAAGTTGAAATGTTAATGTAAATAGAAATAAATATAAATTCTAATTGAATTATATCTGTTCAAAATATAGTGATTGAAAAGTCTACTAAAAATAATGGGTTAATTACATTTACCTCCCCTGAGGTTTGACCATATTACCAATCAATCCCTGTAATTTGTCCAAATAACGGTCTCACCCTTTGAATGATCAAACATTTAACAAAAACCCCCTTAATGCCGAAAATGCCCTTTTTTAGGCCATATTGCATTAAAAAAAGAACATATTTTTATTTATTAACCTTCAAGTAATCCAAAAAAATAGAAAAAAGTTTTTGCTTATTATTTTATAAAAATCATATCTTTGCTTCCATAAATAGTTTTGAATCAATAATTATTTTAAATCTTAAAAATGAATATTAAAAATTAAATAAATTGAAAGAAAAATAAAAAAGAAACAATTATTTTAAATACTCAAGTATGGTTCGAATTTGTGGTTCAAGGCATGTTGCGGAGAGCACAAGGCATGTTTTCCTCAATTTGAACCATACTTCAGGAATTAAAATAATTTCTTCTTTTTTTATTTTTCTTTCAATTTATCTAATTTTTAATATTCATTTTTAAGATTTAAAATAATTATTGATTCAAAACTATTTATGGAAGCAAAGATATGGTTTTTATAAAATAATAAGCAAAAACTTTTTTCTATTTTTTTGGATTGCTTCAGGGTTAATAAAATAAAAATATGTTCTTTTTTTAATGCAACATGGCCTCAATAAGGGCATTTTCGGCATTAAGGGGGTTTTTGTTAAATGTTTGATCATTCAAAGGGTGAGACCGTTATTTGGACAAATTACAGGGATTGATTGGTAATATGGTCAAACTTCAGGGGAGGTAAATGTAATTAACCCAAAAATAATTCAACCTTATAAAGAAATGAAAAATGCAATCTATTTTGGGTCATTGAGCACATTTAAAGCACTGCCAAATCCATAAAGAAAGCAAAAGAGAAAGCTCAAAATTCACACAAAGTGCCACGTGTCAGCAAAGGGGACTGCTACAGTAACTATAGCCTTTTGTTTATCTTATAGTAAGATATTTTGACAAATAACTCATAAGCATTAGAATTATATATTTAGATAGATATATATATATATATCAAAATATGAATATATTATATATAATTATATATATAGCTACATATCAAAGGGTGGAGCCTATATCGAGTTTGATCCAAATAAGATCCAAACTCTACTAACATTTAATTCGGGACTAATATTTAGATCCAATTTTAACCCAACTCAATGAACGGTTAGACTCATTAGACTTTTTCTCAGAGTTGAATTTAAATTGACTCGACCCCATTGACAATCCTAAAAGGATTGCCTCAGATTTTTGTGCTAATTCATTTCCCTCTCAACATGAGTAAGAAAGGGAATTTGGAGATAAGATGATTAGAGTGGGGGCTTGCTTGGTTGGATAGATTAATTTGGTAATTTTGAATGTGTTTGGATTGTAAATTATTTGAAATATTTTTGCTGTAGCACTTTTTGTGATGTGGTGTATGTGAGATAAAAATGTAATTGGAAAGATAAAAAGGTGTATTGGAAATTGTAATAATGATGTAAGCAAATAACTTTTGGCAAATAATTTATTAGATATTAGGAATATGTGAATTTGCCAAAACTTCTATGTCTTTAAGAATTTTAAATCTTTCTATTACTACTTCTCAAAAATTTCCAAAAAGAGAAACACAAATTTGATTCTCAATGTTTGACCTATATACCAAATTGTTTTTTAATGTATCAACCAAAACAAATCTGGTCTCTAAGTTTTTTGACTTTAACTTTACATTTTTAGTCCCTAATGTTTGAAGTTTCAATCAATATGGTCTCTTAAGTTTCTAGTTATAGTTAAGGGTTTTAAAATGAAAAAAAAAGGATGTGAATTGAATTAAATATATGACAAATGTCATCCTAAATTCATATAAAATTTCAAAAAAAACACTTTATATCAACATAATAACATCGTTGAACTTAAAGATTTTTTTTTGAATAAGTTACAATCAAATGACAATATATACATAATATATAAAATTAAAAAAAGGAAAATTCTAGTATTAATATAAAATTTATTATCATTCATGCTAGTTCTTGCATGGCTTGTGCATATAGGCCTTAAATTGTTATAGTTAGAAATTGTTATAAAAACTAGCAAACATAAATACTAATATGAAGTGTTTTACTCATTATGGGTTAATTATCAATTAATTACTAATAGAATAAAACAATAATTACATATTCAATACCGAATTTGAGACCAATTATACCAAAGGGAAGAAGTATACGAGACATTAGTGGCATGAATAAATGAAGTAAAAAATAAAAAGTTTAATTATAATTGCTCGTACCCATTTAAGACAATTGTGTTGTAATTCGCATCTTATTTTATTCTAATACCCTCAATACCACTATGGAAAACTTAAGCAACTAAAATGATTAAAATTTCAAACATTATGGTCTAAAAGTACAAAATCAAAATTGTTAAGTAACAGCAATCAAATTTTGACCGTTAGTCATTGTTGAGTTTTCATCATTGTTGCATGTACCTACTACCAAAAACTTTGAGAACCAAATTTATTTTGGTCAGAACATTAGAGACTAATTTAGCACATATGCTAAAAATTGGAGGCTAAAACTACAATTCTCCGTTTTTCCAAAAGAAAAATCTGCACCTTTTTTTTTGTTTTATTTTTGTGCACACATGTAATTTTTTTCACCTTTGATATCACACAACGATCCAAACTGATTGACATTAGTTAATAGATCCAATTGTTAAAATGACTTTGTGAATTGTGAGGGTGGTAATATGTAGAAAAAATTCTGTTTGGTAGAATTTGGGTAAAAGGAGGATGCGTTTGATAAAATTAAAATTTGAAAATTGAAGTCTGAAGTTTGAATTTCATTAAGTTAAGTTGTTGAATTGTTAAATATTAGGCCTTGTTTGATAACACAATTAAATACTTAAAGTTAATGGATTCAGATAATAACATGTTCAGATGCATTTGATAACCAAAAATTACACATCTGAATTAATTAAATGACACTGAATTTCTTAGGCATAATTTGCACCAAAAAATTTTGGTAAAGTTAGTAACATAGTTCAGAGTTTTGCTTTTTTTTAAAAAAAAATTTCAATTTTTTGCAATATTTCCTAGTGTTTAAATGGGTAAATCATAAGCTTTCCATTGAGTTGTTCTATGCTGTACCTCACTATTTTGAATTAGGACCATGCATATGGTTTTACATATTAGAAGTGATCAAGGACATGAGACAGGATTTGTGGAAATGCAGCTTAGTCAGTGATAGGTGTCGAATCTATGCAATAATAAATACTTACTCGAGTAAAATATAAATTTTGTAAATAGCGGTGAGCAGGGTCGAATCCACAGAAATTAGAAAAAATTCGTTTCTTCTAGAGCCCAGAGTACGGAGAATTTTTATAAAATTGGGAATAATTAAACAACTTAAATAAAAAGGACTAAATTATAATCAATTGAAATTGAATCAATAATAAACAAACTCTAGTCAAGAAATAACTTCAAAAATGGTTCACTCTATTAATCACTAATGCAATAATAATTTGATTTGCTCACTGATAATTTCATTTTCTCCCTCCCTTCCTTGGCTAAAAAATTTGACTCTTAGCGGCATCCTGTTTCCTATTAGTGCTGGGGATCAACTTGTTCTTGTGTGTTACAATGCGGAGGTTGACAATGAGTTCAAGTTTTGTCGACGATCGTGATTGGTTCATTATTATCCCTTTTATGTGGAAGGGAATTACTTGTTCACAACTTTTGGCATTAGCGTTTTTGCCAATCGTGTATTTTACAGGAGTTTATTTCAAGGACATGCTCCATTCTGTGGTAAAGCTGAGGGGTTGCCTGACCATTTTTTGCCTCCTCAATATCATGGTCATTGTCCAATGCCCCTACAGCGGATTGGCCCATATAAGTTTGCTACCCTTTGGCTCGCAACTGTGGGGCAAAAACCACGACATTGTGCTAAGTTGAGTGTGTTCACCACTTCACCGCTTGAGGAGGAGGAGCATTCTGCTACTCCGCTTCGGGAGGGGAAGAAGGAAGATGATACTTCTTTATAGGAAGGAGATGAAGAAGGAATCTTGTTTTGTTCCCAACATTGAATTCGACGAAAGTCTTGAACTCGAGGTAGAGGAGCATGTTCATTTCTATATTGACGCTATTGATGTAGTATTCCCTCAATCAGAAGTAGATGTGCATATGTAGTGGTCCGTGGTGAGGAAGGTTTTTTGCGTTCGGTTCTGAAATTGCACATATTCATGGTTGGCATTTGGGAAATTGATGAACTCAGATGTTTGATCATTTGTTGTTTAGTGTACCAAAGGACTTCCGAATCAACCATACTGTATATACTAAACATCTTTACTTTTTGTTGTTGTTTAGTATACCAAAGGAGCATGGTTTTTTGCTGTAGTATTTACTCAAACAGAGGTAGACTTTTATTCCGGGGTGAGGATGACAAGAATAAGCGTGAGGATGTGTATCTACAAACAGTGTATCTTAAAAAGTGCATAATCAGAAGTCTTAAAAAGTGCTTAAAAAGTGAAAACACTAGTATAGAAGTCTTAGTAACTTGGCCTTAGGCAACTGTTAAGATAAGAAATGGTCCACTTCCTAAAAACTCAGGTCTCAAAGCAGCTCAATCAGATGAGCAGAACTATGCCTGTGTATCTCAATATTTTCTGCAATTCCGGGGCCTAGGCTAGGACCAAGAAGAACAAATTAAGGGCAGACTTTTATTTCGATCACATTCATGACAATCCTCATCTGGAAGAAGAACAAAATCTAGTAGTACACAAGAAACTGCTGCAAAAATCTGGTAGAGCTAATCTGAAAGTATCTAAGCTAATTTGATACAAACTGGCTGAAGTACTCATCAAGTGTGGTGTATTTAACATCAGGATAGAGCTCCGTTGCCTCCATGCCAAAAGAAGCCTTGATCTCAAAGTTGGCTATTTCTCCCTTCACGAAAAATGTGTATGCCAAAGACAGGAGCAATTTTAATGGCATTGAAGCCTCTGCAAAAGATACAAGAAAAGAAAGCAATTTGATTAAAACATGGAATAGGTGTTAATAATAGTAGATGCTATTGTATTAAAAATTAGCAACTTGTGCACTTTTTTCTTATTGTTAGATGACCTTGAATTTTCTTAAGAACTTCGTCCCCTGGAACGTAGATCTTTTCGAGGGTCTTGCCAATTTTCTTTTCCCACAATGATACTATTTCGTTGTAGGACAAGGTGTTGGCAGGGGGTGTAATGTACACACTCTTGTTCAGAGTCCTTGGGTCATCTGCTGCTTTGATGGTGTATGCAGCAATGTCTTCTTCCTTGGTGAAAACAACTGCAACGAAACATGAAATTGAAGAAAAAATTGAGAACTCTAAAAGATGATACTAAACCAATCAACATATGCAGCAGACAAGCCCCTTTCGGATACCTTTTGGATTTCCATCGCCAAGAATGACAATTTTGTCTCTGGGAGGACTTGCAGAGAAAGAGTCTCCAAAGTTGTTGAGGATATAATTCAAGTAACCAGCAAATCCGTTAGATACTAAATAAGTGTAAGGTATCCCTTCTGCCTCAATAGCTCTGCGGATCTCAACCTTGGTCCTGTTTAAGCTAGCAGCTGGGTCAACAGCATGCGCACGATCCACATCAACCCCAAATTCAGAAGGTAAAAATCTCTGAAACCAAATACAGCTCCTTCTTTAGGAATATGGAAGTCACAGCTCACAAAGGGACAAACGCAAAAAAATAAAAATCAAGAAAGAATTTGTAACACTGTATTGTGCTTACTTTGATGTTTCCAGTTTCTTTAATTGCTTCAATAATCTTAACTTGATGAGCTACCAAATCTCCCCCGACTGCAGAGATCACTATGTCAACTTGTTTGATTGCATTTACCAACTGCTGATGATTGTGTAGGTCTCCCTGTTCAGTCCATACGTACACGTTAGTTTCTATAATTTCTTGAAAAAAAATTGAAACAGTATTTAAACAACGAAGAAAGAAATAACAGCACACATGAAGAAATATGACTCCCAAACTCTTGAAACTCTCTATGATAACTGCCCTTTTAGGATCTGATATTGTGCTTTCTCGGACCAATGCAAACGTTGGGTGCCCTGCCTTTGCACTCGCTTCCACTAAATATTTCCCGATGTTTCCAGTGCCCCCAATGATCAAAATCTTGCTTTTCACATCCATTTCCAGCTCTAGGATAGTAGACTACTGTTGCAAATTGGGTGGAAACCGTGAATTGATGAGTTGAACGGATGCAGAAATGTGCTTGGCTGCAGCTTCGTGCACGGTTAATTTATAGAGGAAAAAGTATTGAAACTGGCAAGCCTGTCGCTGCAGTTTCCTTTTGATGCTCTGTTGGATTAATCAACGAAGTTTAGACAGTTGAAGATTCTCACGAGGCTTCCCAAAAAATCCTGGCACTAACGGATTCTTATTGGCCAGCATGCGCAATGAATAGTTGTCTGGTTCTTGAAAAAATTGACACGTATAGGCCGGGTGGCAATTGCGAAAGAGAAAGGTCAAAGTCAATTGAATGTCCTTGCGAAACTACTCATATGGAAAATTTAGCGGTAGGATTTTGTCCCTAAATCAGTGATGACCATGACAGGATAAAGCTCATGGCCAATATCTTATGGCAAATCTGGAAGGCACGTAACAGGATGGTATTCCACCTTGAGAGCACAGATGCAAAGCAGGTTGTTGACAAAGCACAGCTGGAGTGGATAGAGTATGAAAATGAAACTGATGCAATTGCAGGAAAACAAGTTACTCCAGAACTGGACCGGCAACAGCAACATGGCTGGGAACCACCAAAAGAAGGAGTGATCAAAATAAATACGGATGCAGCAATATCAGCCAGAATGGTAAGAACAAGTCAGGGGATAATAGCCAGGAACTGGCTTGGAAAGATTGTGAAAGCGAAAGGAATTTCTGTATGCAAGCGAGGAGATGCAAGCAGAGAAGAATCACTAGCTATAAGAAGTGCTCTAGTAATGGCAAAAGACGCAGGTTGGACTAATATAGAAGTTCAAACAGACTGCAAAGGAGTAGTGGACCAAATCAACACAGGCAATGTTCAGGAAGTAGTATTGAAACAGTCCTAGAGGACATTAATGACCTTAGACAGGATTTCGATTACTGCAAATTCTCTTTTGTTCCTAGGAAAGGAAATGGCTGCAGCCATGCTCTGGCACAGTTTGCTGCCAAGTTAGTTAAGAATGTGGAATGGGAAAATTCCTTCCCAATGTGGTTAATAGACCCAGTAAGGAAGGATATGGGGGTAATTACCCCTTTTGTAATTAATTCTTGTATTATCAAGTGTTAATAGCTGTAAAATGTTAACGTTTGTGGGGAAAAAAAAAAGAATCAGTGATGACCAAACCTGAAGTAAGCGCTGACGAACAAAATGTTGAAGTGAACAAAAAAGCATGAACTTAGTACTAAACATTACAATGTGCCAGGAAAAAAAATGAAAAGCACAACATTATTTTTCTTTTTATATATTCATCATATACTGATAGAAGCCTGTACTCAGAGGCTTTTGGGTACAACGAATCTGAACAATGCAATTAATATAATTGATAGGGAAAATCGTTTAAAACGTTTCTCATATTTTTGTAAAATGATTTTTTTCGTCTCTCACTTTTAAAAAGTGTAATTTTACGTCTTTTACAAATTCACATCAGTCAAATTGTGTTCCTGCCTAGGTTTCCGACTAATTTTTGGCTGGAATTCACCACGTGCCTTGCACGTGATTATTTTTAGGGGAAAAATTATCAAATCATATTTCACATATAATCTGATTCATAGTCTCTCACACTTCATAAAATGAATTTTTGCGTCCCTCACTCAATCAAACCATAGTTTGTCCCCCACTCAATAAAATAAATTTTTTCGTTCCTCACATTTCACAAAATCACTAAGCAAAATCCTCGATGACAATTAAAATGTAGCAATAATTGTTAGGAGGATTAAAAAATAGAAGCCATGAGGACACTTCTTCAATCAAACCATAGTTCGTACAATGTCATTCCTTCAATTTTGGTTCATCATCTTTTAATTCCGTGAAATTTGCTTTGTTTTACTTATAATGTTATTATTTGTTCATTATATTTTGATTTCATAACATCAAAATAGTTAATTTTAATTAATCATAATTCAGACAAGTTTGGAGCACATGCACATTCTAAATAAGAATAAATGTCTTGTTATGCTTTGATGAAAATTTGGTTTGCTAAGTTGGAAAAAAAGGTATCTCTCATAGACAATCTAACAATATATTCTTGAGCAATTTAGAATTCCATCTTGTGTTGTTCCAATTAATTGTCTCTAAAAATTATAGCTATGAGGCTAAATAAAACCAGCGGCAGAGGAGAGAGTTGGCATGGAAAGACAATCTTGAGATCGTCATGAGAATGACAATCAAATTCTTACAAACTTGAAGTGTACGAATTTGGTATGATAACTAGCACATTATACTACATTTAAATTGCAAACAGAAAATGGAATATTTTAGATAAATCATGGCAAAATTTGAGACAAGAACATGATCTTCTACATAAAACCCTTCGCTTTCTTCCTTTTTATTTCCTTTGGGTTTTGTTTTGTTTTCTATATTTCTTTTTTCAAGTCAATGGTCTTATTTTTTTATTATTATGTTTCTTGATTGCAACTTTTTGTGTGATAGAGAAAACCTATGCATGAGTACAGGTCGAGAAAGATCAAAGATGCAAGCAACGTATTATAATTTCCTTTGACTTTTTTTTTTTTTTTTATCTCAATAGATTATCTTATTAAACGGAAAAACAAAGTTACAAGCGCCAATGCTCAAAAAACTACCCCTCCCTCACAACAACCTGGCAGAGGGATGGCACTCCTAGCCTATCTAGAAATAAAGCTCCTTGCGCTAAATGGGGCAAATCCAAAGCTGCCAAATATATATCGTCACGGGCCTGCAGACAACCAGTATTCGCCAATGTATCCGCGACCTGGTTCGCCTGACGGTAACAGTGAAGAATCCGAGGAAAGTGAGACGCCACCCCGATCAACTGCTGCACCTCAGTGTGAATGCCCCATGGGCAACGTACTAATCGATTCAATATGCGGACTAAAACCAACGAGTCCAGTTCAACGTCCAGGGTATCGATGCCCCTCTGGAGACACAACTTGACCCCAAACAACAGGGCGCGGGCCTCAGCCTGCATGCTCGAAGCCAAACCGAAACTACATGAAAATGCCAGCACCATCCTCCCCCCATCACGCAGCACCCCCCCTCCTCCACTCAAGCCAGGGTTACCCTTAGAACAACCGTCCGTGTTAAGCTTTAGACTTCCATAGAAAGGTCGCACCCATTTCACCAACCTATGTGAGATCGCCGTTTTCCATGTTGATGTGGCCAAATAAAACTGGATCCACGACCACGACGGAACCCGGCAGTCCGGAAACTAGATCCTGAACAACTGTAGCATCTCTGAGAAGATCAATTGACATACATGTGCCCCCACAATCCTCTTGCCCTCGTACTTCATACCGTTGCGAGCCTTCCAGAGATGCCAGCAGATCATCAAAGGGACAACCTGATGGACAAACCTCAAAGGCTTATTCCGTTGCCGTCCCTCCCACCAGGCTGCCATGCATACGCGAAACGAAGACCCTGACCAACCTACTCCAACTGGAGCCCCAAAGAACCTCCACACATACTGTGCCATAACCCCATCACCAAACAAATGCTCCGTAGTCTCAATCTCAGGAGATGGGCAGAACGAACATCGAGAAGGTCCCTGAATCCCCAATGATAAGTTGTATTTTTGCGATTAATTCTATGATTATTTTCCTCTTTTATTATACCAAATATTGCGTTAATTGATGGATTCTACTTATATTTGGTTAATGGTGCTAAATTGTAGGAAAAAGAGCAAAACGTGACAAAAAGGGGCAATCTTCCAATTAATTTGATGGTGGCACGTTCGGGATCGATTTCCAAGTTCGATTCAAACTCTGGGCAGCTTTAGAGGAAGATTTGGAAGACTTGAATTCTAATTACTAGTCTTATTGTTGAATTAGGAAACTTGAAATACTTTCTTTTGTGGTTTATTTTGCTATTTAGGAAACTAGTTCTATTAGGTAGTATTTTTCCATTAGGAAACTAAAGAAGAGAAAGAGCCGGATCCCGCGTGATAAAGACTTCAGCTAGCAACAAATTCGGATCTTCTTTTGACGGCAGAAATAAAAGAGGACAATTGCTTTGTTCTTATGACTTTTTCTTTGGCTAGTTGGCCGATTTGGCCAGGAACAATTTTGTAAGGTTCGAATAGCTCTTTCGCATGGTTGTTCTCCATTAATGGAGGACTAACCTCTTAATTCTAGTGAAGGGGACAACTGAAGACTTGGTTCAATAATTACTGTGAGATCTAATTTATTTTAATTGTTTCCTCCATTTATTGGTATTCATATGTTTCCTGCTTTTAACTGTTATAGCTCTTGTGTATGATTGATTAGTGCGCAATAAGTAATTATTCATACAGGCTATTTTGCTAAATAGAGGTAATTGAATCCGTAATTGTTCGTTATCTCTATCCCAGTAGCAACTGGCGTAATTGGGTTTATGTCAGGGAAACATACGATCTAATTTAAACAAACCCTCGTAGCGTGTTTGTTAATTAGGATTGGGCCTTTCTAATTATTAATGCAAACCAGAAATTAAATCCTACGGTCGTACCTAGGGTTGTTTTTGGGTTAGGGAAATAGTTAACGGTCGTACCTTAGCTATCGATAAATTAAGGAAGGGTTGGTTGTTTAGCGCGTGCGAGACAACTATAACCACTCTATTAATAAATGTTGGAATTACCTTTGAATCAATGATCAGTTGCATGAACCATTTCTGAAGTATACCCTTGGCTAGAGTTTCTCTTAGTTATTTCTTTTAATTAATTATTTTCTGCATTTAATTTATTTAGTTGTCGTTTAATCCCAAAACCCCCTATTAATCTTGACTTGAAAAGAAATAAATTTCTCGCCAGTCCCTGAGGAGACGACCCTGCTTACCACTGTCTACTAAGTTAGTAAATTTAGTTAAATAATTAATTCAAGTATATCGGATTAAGCAAACTCTTCGGGAACAGGGTGAATCAAGTAACCTATTGCACACCTAGAGTCCCTGCTCCAGTACTCGAATTGATTATTGACTGCTTTATGTGGTAGTTAGGTTTTATTTATTATTATTGCACAGGTTCGGCACCTGTCAATTTTTGGCGCCGCTGCCGGGGACTGGTAACAGATTAATTTGTTTCTTTTTGAGTTCATCTTGTTTTTATTTTTATTTATTTATTTTTCTCTTATTTTTTTTATTA